GTATATACATGAGATTTCCTATAAAAAAAATTGGTCTCGGAATGGCCTGTCCTAACCCATGGTAGCCAATTTTCCACCAATGATTTGAAGCTGTTGTCATCATTCAGGGATGGGAAATCTAGTTTGGGTGGGGTTGCTATTGTTTCAACTGTAATTCAGCAAAGTTTCATGCGCCTGCTACCATAATTGTGTAAGAGGGGTGAACCTCAGACCTATTGTCCTACATTTTTATCAACTCCGTTACGACTGTATTGTGCTGCCATCTATTCATAGACAATGGTGTTAACCAATGACCAATCAGACCAAATCAGACCAATCAGACCAACCAGCATCACATTTCAAGGGGAAAATTTGCCAAAAATAAATGCGTACTTAAATGCATTCATCACCTCTGTTACGCAAATTGTATGATAAGTAACCATAGAAACCAAACATCATAAATTGAGGAAGACAGGCATATTGACCTCTTGAATAAAACATATTATTTGCATCTTGCCCTTGCTCCATGTGGAACCAACAAGGTCAAGCATGACAAAATTATCAACTCCATTACATCAACTCCGTTACAAAATTGTAACGGAGTTGATGTATAGGCCCTTATATAAAGGTACACAAAAAAGTAAAAAGTGTAATAATCTTTGTGGTTTCAAATTCAGGGCCACGGTGTTACAAATATTGGAAAAATTAGTATATAAATATGCCAAAGGGATGATAAAAAAAATTCAGTAATTTAAAACTGCAATTTGCCCCCTAACCTCAGAAACACCCAACAATCGTTAGTAAATGCAGCGAGGGAGGGCGAGTTGACTATGCAGTGTACCCCCCCCCCCCATTTAGGAAAGTTACGATATGGGGGTTTAAACTAGGATCAGAGCAAACAAGGTGAGTACCGTACCCTCGGTTCAAGGACGTTTTGTCCCGCCTTTCTGACAACAAATTACATATTTCTTGCTAGAAATTATTAGACAACACCCTGAAGAAGACCTCTGTTAATTTTTAAGAGTGTACCCCCACATTTACGAAAGTTACGACTTGGGGGTTTAAACTAGGAGTAGGATCAGAGCAAAAACAGGCTCACTGTAGCGTAGTAGGCCTACAAAGTGGAATCCGTTAATTAACGTGCAACACGACAGTCAATTTTAATCTCACCTCCAAACACAAAGAACTAATCTAAATATCAATGCCAGGAATAACATATAAACAAATAGTTTAGACATGTTTGGTACACTCGTAATCGAGAACACGGCAGGTGCAATATATGGTGTTTTCGGTGTTCGGACGTCTGCTCATGCGTTGGAAGGTGCTGCCCTCTCTTGTTGCTCCGTTCTCAGCATTCACGATGGCGATTCCTTCTTCTTTTTTTTATCTTACACACACATAATATATTATATATATATATATATATATATTATTGTTTTTAATTAGATATTAAATAGAAATGCATATAGAGAATTATTGTTAGGAGATAAGTTACTTAATATTAGCAATAAATCTACAGTTGCACATTTCTGCACGGTTTATTTATTACGCAACCTCGTTGTCTTTTATTTTTAATTCTCTCGGTCCTTTTCAAGCTCCCTGCTTGAGTGTCATAAACCCTATCTGTCGAATCCCGATACCTGGCTTTATCTTACCTACATTTTGTTTCTAGGATGTTCTTTCTTTGTCTTCATTCATTGGTTCTAAATTAGCTATATTTTGCTAATTGCTTACAACAACGTGGCCATGTATCTATTGTCATTAGACACACTCGTAGCTGAGAAATGTCTACCATGGTTGCTCTGAAATAGCGATAAGTGCTGTGTTGAAAGAGAAACGTCATGACCCTGTGATCTAGTTTCTCTTAGCAAGATTAGTTGTTTCCCCCGTCTGCTGCTTATATTATTCAGCTGCGAAGCGGTGCTTTTGGGGTTTTCCCACCAAGATATATATATATATATATATATATTATATATATATATAGAGAGAGAGAGAGAGAGAGAGAGAGAGAAGAGAAAGAAGAGAGAGAGAAAGAGAGAGAGAGAGAGGGGGGGGGGTACTGGTAGGTTTAACGCAAAAGGACGAACGGACGGACAGACAGAACAGACAGACAAATATACAGACAGACAGACAGACAGACAGACAGACACACACACACACACACACAACACACCACACACACACACACACACACACACACACACACACACACACACACACACACAGATCGTATATTGTTACGGACATACATATAGACATGGATAAATTGGATGGATGGATAGATGATAGATAGATTAGATAGATAGATAGATAAATAGATAGATAGATAGATAGATAGATAGATAGATAGGATAGTAGTTAGATAGATAGATCAGAGATGAGAGATAGATAGATAGATAGATAGATAGATAGATAGATAGATAGATAGATAGCGAGATAGATTAGATAGATAGATAGATAGATAGATAGATAGATAGATAGTAGATAGATAGATAGATAGATAGGTAGATAGATAGATAGATAGATTATAGATAGATAAATATATAGATAGATAGATAGATAGATAGATAGTAGATAGATATGATAGATAGATAATAGATAGATAGATAGATAGATAGATAGATAGATAGATAGATAGATAGATAGATTAGATAGATAATAGATAGAAGTAGATTAGATAGATAATAGATAAATAGATAGATCTATATATACTATATAATTATATATATATGATTAGATAGATTAGATAGATATGCTTATGATAGATAAGATAGATAAGATACAATAGATAGATAGATTAGATAGATAGATAGATAGCATAGCTATTACTGTATACGCTCACGCAGCGGAGAGAACACTGCGCATAGATATAGATCAAAAACGAGAATCAGAATTGGATTTCTCCTTTCTTTCGCTTGCTGCCTCTCGTTGGCGCTTTCATTGCGTGTAAACAAAATACACGACGACTCAGGTCACGATGATACAAGCCCATGTAGCTACTATGTTGCACAACGTGTATCTGTGATTCATGTGCATGTTTAATGTGTGCGTGCGTTGTACGTGGCGTGTGTTGTATGTGTAGGCCACGTGTGGTGTGTGGTGTGTGTGTGGGGGGGGGGGGGTATGGTTGGTGTGTGGGGGGGGGGGTGGGTGGTGTAGGGGCTGATGTGTGTGGGGGGGGTCATAGGTGTGTGCGCGTGTGTGGTGGGGGTTGTGTGTGTGTGTGCTGTGTGTGTGTTGT